CTAAATTTTATTCAGAGACTCAAACTGAGCAAAAATATGCAATTTGGTGCAGATGCTGATATTTATATGGATAAAAAGTGATGAAATTCTGATGCTTGTAATGTAAATCAATGAGATCTTTATAACAGTACAGCAGATATTTACATAAATTATATGAATACCAGTCGTCACTCTAGATCTCTTAATATGTTTTAGTAAGCTGAGATTGAAATTATCCAAACATATAATGCAATGCAATGCAATGAAGAAATAAAGGCTCCTCAGAAGATGTGAGATGTTCTGGAGGCTTGTGAAGATCAGTCCTCCGCTGAGGAACAGTGAAAGTAAAGCTTCTGGAAACAAACGCTCCTCAAAAGATCCCGATGATCAGATTTGAGACGCACTGATTTTTCCCCCCAAAAAAAAGATTGTGCCGAGTCATCTGAGCAACCGGAAGATTTAAGACTCTAAAAAATGATTGATGGAGAATCAAATAAAGCTGAGCTGCTTCAGTCCAGTAAGTGTTCATCTGGAGATATTACTGCAGTTATTCTGACGTTTACTTGATAAAAAAATCAATAAAGATTTGACAGCAGAAAGACACGAGAAGCAGCAGCTGAAGCTGGACGTTTGTACAATTAGACTAAAAGAGCTTTGACTGGATAAAAACAACTCTAAACTATCAATCAGAGACAGAAGACATGGAGTAGATTGTGTGCAACAGGTTTAACAGCAAATATTCGATCATGTTGATCATTTAGAGGCCTTTTATGTGTCAAATATGATACAGTAGCTTTATAGGGTTAAATAATATGTGTGCGGTCTGAGACGTTTGAGGGTCTCCTACACTGACACCTGTCTGCTCTCAGAGCGGCGCGTGATTCACAGACAGCTGCTCTGAACGCCTGATTACAGATCAGGACCAATTAAACTCTTATTCCTAATCACTGAGACTCTCCTGTGAACATCTGTACGCTCACACAGCTGGACTACGAGCGTCTGTCCTGAACATACATGAATATACAAGCCAACCCTCGTGAAAAAAGAAGAGCTTTAGCGTGCTTTTAAGAGAGTAAGTATCATTTTAAAAGAACATACTTAAGTGTGAACTGAATGCAATGTTTTCAGACACTTGTCAGACTGCATGTTAACTGCAATTAAATGAAAATGTATAATATTAAAATTGATATTAAATGTGTCTAGCTGAACTTTAGAGTGTTTTTCACTTAAGTAGGACTTAAGCACACGCTAAAGCTCTTCTTTTTCACGAGCGTTGGCTTGTATGTTCATGTATGTTCAGGACAGACGCTCGTAGTCCAGCTGTGTGAGTGTACAGATGTTCACAGGAGAGTCTCAGTGATTAGGAATAAGAGTTTAATTGGTCCTGATCTGTAATCAGGCGTTCAGAGCAGCTGTCATATATTTGTAATTAAACATTTTATATATTAACTGTAAAACATTCATTTTAAATGCAATATTGAATAACACTAAAGTTAAAATTATAATCTTACAGATTACGTATTAATTATAAGTACTTTACATGTACTTTAGTTTGTAAGTCAGCACATCAAAATAAGTGTACTTCTTTAAAACACAACTAAAGATTTTTAAAACATAATGATTAAAAATGTACTTTAAAGTAAAACTTTTAATTTCACATTATTACAAATTTCACTTTTTAAAAATGTACTTAAGTGTGTTAAGAAACAGTCATGAAAGTGTCTCTCTTTAAGTCACTTAAGTGGCCTTTTATTTCATTAATATTATATTATCTTCAAGTGTATCTTTTTTTTTTGTTTTAAATATACTTTTAAGATTCACAATACATTGCAAGTGCACATTTAACACAATTAAGCACACTTATTTCACAAAGGTGATCATGACTGGCACCAGAATTTTGTAATTGCAAAAAAAGCGGGTGTTTTAAAGAATCAAGTCTGTATTGATCTCAATAACCCTGCTGAAAAACAAGCTGGTTTGCTGGTTTAAACCAGTCTATTTATCTGATTGGCCAGCTGGTCTCCAATCCTGATCAGCTGACAACTGCCCAAAAACGCACGTAAGAATCCAGAGTAAGAATCTGGAAATTTGACTTGAAGTCACAAGAACAGGAAGTACCTTAGTGAGGTCACAGATTCGGAGCAGGTCGTTCTGAGCTCCGCCCCTCTGCACACGTTCACGCTCACGAGCAACGTCTTCGTCCTCTTCGCCTGAAGATGTCGGTAGAGACTTTATCGACCTGTGTGTGAAGATGTGCGTATGTCACCGCAGAGCAGACGGAAGGATCACGTGTAAAAGTCAGTAAAGACACACAACAGATATAGAGCTACATTCAGAGGTTTTTCTGAAGGGATAGTTCACCCAAAAATGAAAATGTGCTGTTAATTTACTCAATATCAGGTCATCCAAGATATAGGTGACTTTTTTCTTCAGTAGGGCAGTGAAGAAGATTTTTAGCTTTTACCTTTGTGATTCAGAAAATAAAGTCACTGGCTGCCGTCACTTTGAGAGTCAAAAGAAGCATATATAAGCAAGACAAAAGTAATACCTGTGGCTCCTGACGATATATTGAGGTCTTATGAATCTAAACGATCCAAGATGTAGATGACTTATTTTTTTCAGTAGAACAGTAAAGAAGATTTTTTGGTCCTTGGTGATTCATTAAATGCAAGTCAATGGCTACTGTCACTTTTAGAGTCAAAAAAGCACATACAGGCAACACACAATTAATACCCGTGGTTCGTGACGATATATTGAGGTCTTATGAAGCGAAACAATCAGTCTGTGCAAGAAACTGAACATTATCTACAACATTATTACCTGTAATCTTGAGCCTCAGGCAAACAGGGAAATCTGATTCTTTTCAACAAACTGGATCTTTCAGACAGTCCGTTCCAATGAACTGGTTCAAAACACTGATTCACCAATTGGTTTACATAATCACACAAGACATAACATAAACAATACACAATTATATTATTAAAGCACCCGATAATGAACCTTCATTCAAGTGTTCGGTTCACGCATGCGCATATCAGCAGCTCATCGGCCTTCGGTCCGAATCGAACTGTTTCCTCAGTTCAGTGACTGTTGGAGGAACTGGAGAGCTGAATCAGTTCATTCATCAGATGATCAGATGTATGATCGCTGTAATGGCTCATTTTGAGTCTGAGTGTCTGAAAGTGAGTTTTGACTGAGTAACTTGTAGATCTGTGCTGCTTGATCCGCGAACTGTTTCAGACGCTTCAGTCCGATTTGATGAACTGGTTCATCCAGTTCACTAAAAAGAACCGCTTCAAAAGAATGATTCGTTCGTGAACCGGACATCACTCCAGACCGTTTGCCTGAGGCGCGGATTACCGGTAATAATAATGTTGTAAATAATGTTCAGTTTCTTGCACAGACTTGATTGTTTCGCTTCATAAGACCTCAATATATCGTCACGAACCACGGGTATTAATTGTGTGTTGCCTGTATATGCTTTTTTTGACTTTAAAAGTGACGGTAGCCATTGACTTGCATTTAATGAATCACCAAGGAACAAAAATCTTTTTTACTGTTCTACTGAAGAAAAAAAATCACCTACATCTTGGATCGTTTAGATTCATAAGACCTCAATATATCGTCAGGAGCCACAGGTATTAATTTTGTCTTTCTTATATATGCTTCTTTTGACTCTCAAAGTGACGGCAGCCAGTTACTTTATTTTCTAAATCACAAAGGAGCACGGTTTCAGCTAAAAATCTTCTTTACTGCCCTACTGAAGAAAAAAGCCACCTATATCTTGGATGGCCTGAGGGTGAGTAAATTAAGAGTGAATTTTCAATTTGGGTGAACTGTCCCTTGAAGGTGTGTTTCTTACATGGGTTTACAGAAGAACTTGTACTGGATGAGCAGGGTAAACTTATTTTATTTCAGCTAGTTGCCAAGGGAACATTTCTAATTTTTTATTTTTTTCATCTAAGATTTATAATTTTATTTCATTATATATTTTTTTTTATTTCATTTCAGCTTTATTTCAAATAAATATAAATATTTATAAAGATTTTTTTTAATAATGTAAAAATAATGTAATATTACAGTAACATAATCTGTGCATTGGAAAATAACATTTAAAATAAAAACAATAAATAAAAAAAACTAAATATCATGTGTCTATCGCAAAACAAAACCAGACTAAACTGCAACTTTTGTGAGACCTTTTTTTGCATGTTAAAATAGCGTAATGTGTACACTGGAATAAGATGATTAATAAACTGAAATAACTATATTAGTATCGTGACCAGCGGATGAAAACACGCACACACACTCATATATAAACCGATACAGCTGCATTACTGTGACTGTCAGAGCTGCGGACGGACAGATGAGAGACTGACAGTGATTGGATGAGCACAGAGAGCCGGCCGCTGTGATTGGCTGAACGCTGTCAGGGAGGGACCGAGTGTTAAACAGACTTCCATTACTGACTTCCATTACTGAAGATGACAGATGTACAGCAGTGTCTGACAGTCCTCGTGTCTTTATCCAGCGCAAGCGGCCCCACGAGACTGCCTGTCAATAATGTCAGATCAGCTTCAGCCGTGAAACTTTATTAGAAATAAAACATCAGCTCAGGGTAGAGACTCCAAACCATCATCTCTGTCTCTGGCTGTTTTAAAGGTGCTGTTAGAGATGTTAGCTGTCTTGCTAACCTTTGCCAGACATCGTGAATAACTAAAGTCAGTGTTTTTTCAACGTCTGACTTGGAATAGTGCAACAGAGCACAACTTTAAGACTTACAAGTCCAAGTAAACATTTAGTCTGCTGAAGAAAACAGCTACAACTAATCTAAACTGGCTTGCCATTCTTATCTGGTCTTGCTGATCTAATTAAAATGTTCTTGTTAAACAGACTTCCATTACTGACTTCCATTACTGAAGATGACAGATGTACAGCAGTGTCTGACAGTCCTCGTGTCTTTATCCAGCGCAAGCGGCCCCACGAGACTGCCTGTCAATAATGTCAGATCAGCTTCAGCCGTGAAACTTTATTAGAAATAAAACATCAGCTCAGGGTAGAGACTCCAAACCATCATCTCTGTCTCTGTCACTTTATTTATCACTAGTGATTTATTAGTGAAATAGTACATATTGTAAAATGTATATTATTTTATATTTTTGATTTTTCAATCAATCAATCAATCAATCAATCAATCAATTAAAAAAAAAAACAACAACAAAAAAAAACTTGGTCACTTTAAAGAAAAATTTTAATTCATTCATTCATTTATTTATATAATATCATATACTTTTTGCATACATTCTGCAGCCTTACAAACAAACAGATGAGAGACTGACAGTGATTGGATGAGCACAGAGAGCCGGCCGCTGTGATTGGCTGAACGCTGTCAGGGAGGGACCGAGTGTTAAACAGACTTCCATTACTGACTTCCATTACTGAAGATGACAGATGTACAGCAGTGTCTGACAGTCCTCGTGTCTTTATCCAGCGCAAGCGGCCCCACGAGACTGCCTGTCAATAATGTCAGATCAGCTTCAGCCGTGAAACTTTATTAGAAATAAAACATCAGCTCAGGGTAGAGACTCCAAACCATCATCTCTGTCTCTGGCTGTTTTAAAGGTGCTGTTAGAGATGTTAGCTGTCTTGCTAACCTTTGCCAGACATCGTGAATAACTAAAGTCAGTGTTTTTTCAACGTCTGACTTGGAATAGTGCAACAGAGCACAACTTTAAGACTTACAAGTCCAAGTAAACATTTAGTCTGCTGAAGAAAACAGCTACAACTAATCTAAACTGGCTTGCCATTCTTATCTGGTCTTGCTGATCTAATTAAAATGTTCTAGAAAAGTTTTTAGGGCACTTGTCAGCTGGGGGACCAGCTAAACCAACTAAACTAGCTAAAACTGACTAAAGCCTTAGACAACACTCAAATTGTGTTATTTTGTCTGTTTGCAAATAGTGTGTTAAGCTGGATTAAACGAAAGCACTTTATTTATCACTAGTGATTTATTAGTGAAATAGTACATATTGTAAAATGTATATTATTTTATATTTTTGATTTTTCAATCAATCAATCAATCAATCAATCAATCAATTAAAAAAAAAAACAACAACAAAAAAAAACTTGGTCACTTTAAAGAAAAATTTTAATTCATTCATTCATTTATTTATATAATATCATATACTTTTTGCATACATTCTGCAGCCTTACAAACAACAAAAGCAAACCTGGAGCTCTTTATAAAGGGGAAAAAAATATTGGAATCACTTTCAGAAAGATTTTTTTTTCTAGCAGATGAATGAATAAAACGTTAACAGCCAATCAGGATCCATTCTGCTATAAAGCTCCAGCATTAAAAGCGGCAGATGACAAAACACTGTCATTATAAGAAGCAGAATGCTAATATAGTTATAGTGGTTGGTGTGAATTTATCTTTAGTCTCAGGATGGGCTGAAAAAACGCTTTGCATCTGCACACCTCAATCATGCCTCCAAACACGGGGCTTCAGACTGCCAGTAAATAAAGGAAATAAAGAGAAAAGGACCTTTCTTATTTGACAGAATGTTCTCCACTGCAGGCTTTCAGGAAATTATAAGTGTGAATGTGTGAGTGTGTGTGTGTTTGTGTGTGTGTGTGTGTTTGCTGGAGGCTCACAGGGTCGTCAAAGAGCTCCATGACAAACGTGGCCACGCTGCCGTTGATGCCGATGAAGAGGTTGATGCAGGTCAGAACCACATACGCTGTGCTGGGAACACTGAACAGGAAGGAGGCGGGATACATCATTGGAGTGATGGACCACCTGAAACACACACACACACAAATCAACCTCTAGACAAAAGAAAACAACACGCGCACACACACACACAAACACACACACTCTCTCTCTACACACACACACACACACACACACACACTCTCACACACACACACACACACACACACACACTCTCACACACACACACACACACACACACACACTCACTCACTCACTCACTCACTCACCCGTAGAGCAACAGCAGCAGGATGAGGGCAGGCAGGTTTGGTGGAGAGACGTATGATTTTTGTTGGAAACACAGGAAGATGATGATGACGATGATGCACGGGACAATATAATTACACTGAAACACATCATAAAACACACAACACAATCAAACCACATACTTAAACAACTTGTGCTTTAATATTCATTAATCTGACTACTTTCACAACACTTTTGTGTCGGGCTGAACAATTAATCAAAATAAAACTGAAATCGCTAAGGCTGCCATTCAAATAGATTTAGGAGTGAAGCGCAGCACTGTGTTCATTTACACACGAGCAGCTTATGAGACGGTTTTTCAGCGACTCATTTCGCGGTAAATGCTGCTTTACACAAACTCCATCTCTGCATGTGCTGTGAGTTTGAGTCGCTTATAAAGTGCATTTGGAAACATGCTGAGCATTATCAGATTTTTTATAAGCGTTTATAAACCTGCTGCCAACAAAGGAGAAGTTTAGACCAAAAAAAAAAAAAAGAAAAACTCAGTCTTTCATTTTTGAAAATGCTGAAATTAAGAATAGTACAATCTTTGTGCTACTGGTTATTTTACAGTGAAATAGTCTTATAGCAATATTTTGTATGTTGTTTGTTATTTATTATTATTATTATTATTATTATTATTAATAATAATCAATCACTTTTTTGGCTAAATTATGCATGCTTTTAGCATGAAGATAATTTAATCAAAATAAAAGGG